ATGCCATGAAAATTAAGGGTAAATATAACATATCAACATTTCCTCCCTCAATATATTTTGCAAAAAAAATGCTAATAGTAGAACACAGATTAGTTTTTCTAGTTCAAATTCTCTCAGTTCTTCAATAGGCTAACTTTTGAAAAGGTGGGAAAAACAACCTGCAAAATACTAGGACACGTGTAACTTACACAATGAAGAGAATTCAATTTAGCTTTAAAAAAAAACCCACTTATTTATACTTAATGACTACATTGCCCTAAGTTCTTTTCTCTTAATAATATGAGAACAAAAAAATTGACACCTATCAAATTCATCATTTATTAAAAATAAATCTATTCACGTTTCCCTAAAAAAAGAGAAAAGTACAACAACAAATGTTTACATTATATTTTTTAACAAAGTTAACATGTAAAGATTATAGAGATTTTGGCTCTTATTTTTCTAAATAAGGTTTCTCTTATTTGTTGGCCTAAATATAATTTCAAGGAAAGTGTGGGCTATGACACCCAGAAGGATAAGATAGACACAGCTTGATTTTTGGAGATAATCTGAATCAGGTTTTCTCCACTTTGGCCTTATTAGCATTATGGGCTGGATAATTCTTTGTCGTAGGGGCTCTCCAATGCATTGTATAATTATGAGGAGCTTCCCTGGCTTTACCTACTAGATGCCAGTAGCCCCCTCCCCAAGTTATGACAACCAGAAAAAGTCTGCAGACATTGCCAATGTCCCCTCAGTGAAAAATTCATCCCCCAACCCCCATCTAGGAAATGAGGCCACAGGTGAGTTGTTGAGTTAGCAGAATTAAACTGCAGAAGCTAACTTAAATTTGAAAGCTAAAAAGTTAATATTTAGTATCTGAACCCTGACATGCAAACTAAAGAATGTGAGTTGTAGGATAACTGTGGACAAGGGGAAGAGAGATTAAAAAATAGACCTCAAAATGTTAAGAAATGTGTGTCTATTGCTTGAAAGAAAAAACATTCTTAAAATACTACTCATTACTTTTTTGTGTGTGCTCAAGGAAATAAAGCCATAGTTACATTTGCTATTTTCCTCTTTTAGACTGCCATCTGGCAATCCATACTTCCACTAGAAAAAATTCTTGCTGATCTGACTAAAATAGTTAATGCACTGTCCCATGTGCCAAAAATATGCCAGGGAGTCTACGGCTTGCTCAGTCACGCCCCAAAAGAAAGAAACTAACTTCCTTAGAAAACAAAAGCAAATACTCACAGGATTCTTATACAACTTGGTGAAATTCCCTTCCTACCTTTGGGGGACACAGAATCATGCAGTAGGAGGAGGAAAAGCACAACAAAAGTAGTTATATAAAATAGGCAAACTAAAGTAATCAAACTCCTTTACTGAATGTCAACTTGTCCCCAAGACATATGGAGTTTAAAAAATTTGAATAATCAAATACAGAGGAACACAACCTATAATAGCCATATTTCCTATGTCACAGCGATCTGTTAGGAATGAATGAAACAGTAGGACAGGTTCATTCCTGCAACACTCCTCAAGAAAGGCAGAGTAAAGATTCTTCATAACAATGAACATGAGGTTCACCCCCATAACTGAATCAACTACCACTTGTTTTTTCTTAAAACCCAAAAGCTGTCAAAAGACATAATGGCACATTCAAATGAGTATATCCTTTGAGTTCTCTTCCACAAATCCATAAAGGCAGGCTGTGGTAACAAGAACACACAGTCTCGAACAGATGATCAGTAATTATCAAATACAAAGAAAAGCAGAAAAACACGTCTAGTTCATTAAACAAATGCTTTGTTAAATGTAAACATAAATTGTATGTTCTGAGTAATTCTACAAGAACTCACCTAGAAGTAGTAATGAGCAAGACAGACAAGGTCCTGGCTCACACGAACTTTACACATTAGTGTAGGAATTCTAGTGAAGTCATCAAACACCGGGAAAAGCAGCACTGTAAAGTGCCAAACGCAATGTCTCTTTTCAAAAAGAGGCATCAACACCCAGGAAAAAGAGTTAATAAAGGAAACAAAAGACTTTAAGTAAAATTATTACTCTCATAGATACTAAGAGAATATTGCATCTGTAAAACAAGAACATATTATGACATAAAAAATTTTTTTAACACATTAGATGCATCTGTATAAAATCTTAGAAAACCAAAGATAAAGAGAAAATTCTAAAGGTTTTGAGGGACAAAAAAATAGGTAAAAGAGATTTTCTGATATTTAAGGACTGATTACATTTCAAGTTTAAATAAACTATTAAAGAGCATACTTTTTCAAATCAAACAATGAAATGAAAGATATTGAATGAAAAAAACTGCAAAAAGCTACATACAATAAAATATTACTTGTAAATATTTTAAAACATCAAATAACCCATAAATATGTTTATGGAAATAGACATACAGTAAAAACATAAACCCATTGATGGTCATAATGCATAGTGTAAGTAATATGTAAGCAAAGGGGTGGTAGGGCTTTGCCTTGGTACTTCTTTAAGAAGAAACAACCACCATCATCAGACTACAAATGATCTCACCACAAGGGAGCTAGTACACAAGGCAGGGAGCAAGACAAGAGATATGAAACCTACCCAAGAGTCTTGTTCTGATGAAGAGTATGAATACTAAGAAAAAAATTACTTTAAGTATATATGTTAAAAATCTAAGGTTAACCACTAAAAATCACTTTGAAATAGATAATATTTATTTTCAAATCATCAGAGGAAAGAAATGACACAGAGAAGGCAACCAAAGTAAAAGACAGCAGACTAAGGTCAACTATATCAAAAATCACAGTAAATGTGAATTAATTAAATTCACTGTTAGAAGTCATATTCTCACACTGGAGCTTCAAACATCCAGCCACATGCACTTTACAAGGTATGTGGTAACGAGACATACACCTAAAATAAAACAGCACACGACAGCGGAAAATACAGAAATGGAAAAAGATATATCAATCAACAATTAAAATAAGAAAGTAAATATAGCAATATTAACAAGCAAATTAGAATTAAAGGAAAATGTCAAATATTTCTTATTGTCATTTTTAAAATATGCAATTAGTCAAGTTGTCATGCAACAAATCTTAATATACCTAATAACAGAGAATCAAAATACAAGGGTGGACAAAAGTAGGTTCACAGTTGTGAGTACACAAAACAGAGTTTATTCTTATATTATTATTTATTATTATATTACTTTCCATATGGATAACTGTAGGCCTACTTTTCTCACTCCATATATAATGCAAAAACTGATATCAAAACCAGAAGAAAATGACTTTTCCACATGCACAGTGAGATTTAACACACCCTTCTGAAAAATGCACATTTTAAATAAATAAAAAAGATGAGTATAAAATGTTTTAATAAACTTGACATACAGACATACATATATATCCACACTAGTCAGCTTACAAGTTTACTATGTATTAGAACACACACATACACACACACACCAGCTCAGCAAAGTCTGCAAAGCATCAAATACACATAAGCCATATTCTCTGATCGTGCCTCAAAGAAAACAAGGATATTCAAGTGAACCTATTTCATTTAGACTGGCATTCATTTTGCCCATTAGATGGGCAAAAATGTAAATGGCACTTTGGGTGAGGGTTCAGGGAAATGGGCACTTACAGAAGCTTCAGGTGGGAATATAAATTTGTAATGTCTTTTTGTAAATCAATTTGATATCTATCAAAATTTGAAATGTCAAACCCTTTGACTCAGCAGTTCTATTTCTAAAAATACTTGTTACAAAAACAGTACACATAATCACACAACCACATACATAGTGCAGTTTAAAAAAGTAACAACCCAAGTATCTATCGACAGGAAAATGATTAAATTAGTTACAGTACATCCATTTCATAGAATGCCAAGCACTGGCATGAAAAGAATCTCCATGACAGATTTTTCTTAAGTGTTAAAAAATACATGTATCATTCAAATTATGGTAAAATACAAGATAATACAAAAGGAGTAGAAGAATATACAACACAGTTTTTACTTCTGGAAAGAGAAATAACAGAGGACTTATATATTTTACTTCATGTTTGTCTCTATTGTTTGAATATTTTATGATTACACTGCTTGCATAATTCAGAAAAGACAAGACAAGCAATAATTTCAAAAAATTTTCTTATTTACTTTCCAGAAAAAGGGTGGGACTTTCTGTTCTTAGAACAAATTTGATCAAACCCATTTCAAGAGAACTGGACAAGTACAAACTTCCAATCTGTTTAAATAAGAGCACTTTCTATTTCCCCTGCTGGAATGTTCTTCTCTCAGATGTGGCTCATTCCGTAACTTCCTTCAAGTATTCTAAGTATCATCTTAATCTGAGGAACCATCTCTGACTTTTCAAGATAAAATGACAACACTCCTACCCCTATACTACCACTCCCCAACTTCCTCACCCAGCCTTATATTTCACTAGGTGTTACATTAACTTCTGAGCCTCAGTGTCCTTGCATCTAAGTGGGGGTGCTAACAGTACCTACCCCACACCAGTGCTGTCTGTCAGGTTTAAATGAGCTAGCCCTTCGTTGGTGCTGGGCTCACAGTAAGAGTCACATTAGTCTTTGATTTTTTCGTCTCTTGTTTATAATCTGTCTTCCTCCTGTTAGAATGACAACCTCAGGAGGCAGGGACTGTGTTTTGTTTACTACTGTATCCTGAAAGCCTAGAAGTGCTTATCAGTAAATATTCATAGTTGTCGAGTCTGATTTAGTACTGTAGCCATATGTACAGACAGCTGAGATGACAAGAAAAAGACCAATTGTTTTCGGTCAAAACAAGCTTTCTGCACGTTAGCATGAATCATCTGTAATAATTCAATCTACTTTGAAAGCATAACATTTAGGAGCATGACTGCAGGAGGCTTCAAGTAGGGAAGTGGTATAGTATCATTTCATTCATTAATTTCTGAACACCAACATGGTAAAAGAAAACTACAACATAACATGTAACGAGGAAACAAAAGCACAACTTACGTTCCATTCCTGTTTTTGATGCATGGCTGGTACAGAACCTTGACAGCATTCCAAGCAGAGCTGAAGTCAGCCTTCGATACATCTTCCAGCAAGGGAAACTTTTTGACACTTTTAGAATTTCCCAAAGATTCAATCACCAAACTGTCTGAGTTTAAAAGCCAGAGCTAAAGATATGGAGAGAAAAGTCCAAGTATAAGGATATCACCACCTTGGATAATGATATCCCACATGAGATATCTCATATGATATGAGACATGGATTGAGACAATCCATGTCTCATATCATCACTCAAAAAACTCCCCCAAAACAAATACAAAACTATGAAAATATCAGAATAATATATGAGAATCATGTATATAATTTTTAAGGAAGGCAATTCATTCCAAGTATAACCTTGGTAGAGCAGTCAACATGATAAAGTGTTAAAAAAAGAAAAAAGGCAATCAACTAGAAAGTATTTAATACATCTGTAACAAAGTTAATACCTATAATGTATAGCACTCCTAGAAATAGAGCCCAATAGAAATACAGACAAACAGAATTAAAAGAAGAAGTGGGAAACATATAAAAATACTGACATAGCTAGTAATAAGAAAATACAAAATTTGTGTGCCACTCTTTTTCACTTACTGGATTGGCAAATACAAAAAGATTGATAACCCCCAGTTCAGAAGAGGGCCTTGGATGGGTATTCTCATTCACTGCCGGCTGAGGAGTGTTTGGAGACTTGGATGCATGTGATTCCGTCAGGGACCACTCTCAGGAGAAAGGGACTAAGGTAAGCAGGATAAGGTAGACCAAGAAGCTAGACAAGGATGCGAGCTCAGTTGCAGTCTGGATGAGGCCAATCCCACAGGGAACCTGTACCTACATTTTGCTCCACTTTGAGAGACAGGCAACCCCAGCTTTTTGTACCTCAGGATCAAATCATCTGCAGTAGGATTACCAGGCCAGGGTGGGGGTCAGTGGAAGACAGGAAACTCCCTGGTCAAGCATCTGTTAGGTTAGGGTAAGTCTCTGGAGAAGAGAGCAGCTGTGCCTGTGAGCAGCCAACACTCTCAGCAGCTGGGAAAGGGGAGCATTGGCCAAGGAGAGGGGATCTGAGTGGGGTACATGCATGTCCACTACAAGGGACTGGTACAACTTTTTTGGAGGATGAAACTTATCAGCATTTGAAAAACTCAAATTGTAATACTGTCAACCCTCATGATAAACTAGTTACATAAGCATATTAAAGAGAAATGTTAATCACATGATTCTGGTTTTCTTTTTTTTACAAACTGGCAAATACCTGTGGGTACGTACATACAGCCAGCTGTATATAGATGGGGAAAAGGTGCCAAAGTACATACATCAGACTGTTAAAAATGTTTACCTTCAAATAGTATGATGTAGCAGGACAAGAGGGGACAAGATAGTGGAACTAGCACTTCTTTTTTGTTCTTCAGGTTGTCTGAATGTGTTTCAAGAATGTATTACTTTTATAAAAAATAAATTAAAAAAATTAAATATATATTACTATGGGTCTAAAAAGTCCCCACTCATGATTTTTAAGTTGAAAACCTTGCAATAGATAAAAATTAACTGATTTCAGACTATGACTATAAGTTATACTTAGTATCCACTTCAATCAGGAAATAGTTTAGCTTTTGACAGAAATTATCTGGAATTACAGAAGCATGGGGCTGCCATAATGACCGGCTACAAAGCCACACATAATAATCTCAACCCCCTCACTCCTTTTGCCTGCCTTGTTTCCATGTTACCTTTTGAGTTCCTTGAAGGCATTTTTGTTTTACCTTGAGCACCTGGAACAGTGCCTTTCAATGACCAAGTGCCCAATATATGCTTACTGGTGGAATAAAACAGGTAAGGGGCAGAGAAGAGACTTGGGCCCCAATTCTTGGATTTTCATATAAATGTCCCAAATTCTTTTCTGCAGAACATTATTTTTAACAGAAGCAGTTTAATATTAGATGCTTGTGATGTATGTAGGGGATGGGTGATTCTGGCAACTGCCAGAGCCTGTTCTCCAAAATTTGGCACTACTTCTCAAACATTAGTGTAGAAACGAGGATCTCGAAGAGACAGCTGTACTCCTGTGCTCACTGCAGTACTACTTACAAAAGCCATGATGTAGAAACAATCTGAATGTCCATCAAGGAACAGATGAAGAGAATGGGGCACAGATAAATAAGGGAATATTATCCAGTCTTAAAAAACAAGGGGATCTTTTAATATGCGACCCAATGGACGGACCTGGAGGCCATTATGCTAAGTAAAACAAGCCAGATGCAGAAGGACAAATACTGCATGACCCCATTTATATAAGGAATCTCAAGTAGTCTAACAGACAGAAGTAGAGAGTAGAATGGTCATAGTCAGGGGATGGGAGAGAGAGAAATGAGGAGATGCTAATCAGAGAGTATAAAGTTTTGGTCGGGCAAAGTGAATAAGTTCTAGAGATCTGCTGCCCAATATTGTGCCTATAATTACCAATACTGTACTGTGCACTTCAAAATCTGTGAAGCCAGTAGGTTCCTTGTTAAGTGTTCTTACCACAGAACAAACAGAAAACACATAACGTATCAAATAGAAAAAAAGTGAGAGACAGACTGAATAAAAGACTTCATTTTGTGGTATAAGCTTCTACAGAGCAGGTTTTATTTCTGTCCATATCCCTAGCACCTAGCTCATTGAGGCACTTGATCATTTGTTATTAAATTAAGGGAATTTGATTCGTGAATTAAACTGACATTAAAATTCATCTTTTGATCAATTGTTTTTTAGATCTGAGAATTAAGAAAAAAGAATGACAGCCCAGGCTGGTGTGGCTCAGTGGACTGAGCACTGGCCATCAAACCAAAGGGTCGCTGGTTTGATTCCCAGGCAGGGCACATGCCTGGGTTTCAGGCCAGGTCCTCAGTTGGGAACCTGCAAGAGGCAACCACATGTTGACATTTCTCTCCCTCTCTTTCACCCTCCTTTCCCCTCTCCCTAAAAATAAATAAGTAAAATCTTAAAAAAAAAAGAATGACAAAAACTAAAAAATTTATGAGACCCTGGATCACTAGAGCGACAAAAAGCTGGGTGAAATAATTTCTTACCAAGATGTACGTTTTGCCATCATGACCTTGAATAATGAATCTAAAAGTGCTTCTAGCAGAGGAGAGTTCCATCAGACATTGGGCGATAATGCTCTGTACAAACTGAGACCTGTTTGAACAGAAATCAATTTTCACAATGTGCCTCTCATAATAACTCTAACTGGCAAGATGAGCCAAAAATACCCACAGGGCACCTAAAAGGCAGAGGCTAGTGCATGCCAGACTCTTCTGTATGCTGCCCATTCCCTCACAATCTGTGCTAATGTGGATTTTAATATATTTTAATGTATTTGTGTTTGCTCTAGTCTTCTTATATCCTATTTTCCAACCCTTAATACATTTTCTGCCCTAACCTAACTGAATAAAAAATAGTATGTTAGAAAAGTCAATATTTCTTTTGTGCTGTGACACATTAAACAGTGAACTAAGTTTTAAAAGGTGACACATTTCTTCCCAAACATTAGACAGTGTTATATTTAATATTTCCATTTGCATCCCCTCAAAGTATCAGATCTTAGCTACATAATCAAAATACTTATAGGAGAATAAAGGTCAAAGTTATATTCAGAATGCCATAATTTGACACATCAATAATGAACTAAAATAAATACATACTACAGTCAACTTATGTTTGCAAACTAAACAGATTCAAAGAAAGGTCACACTAATGAATTTAGTGCCTAAATATCATTTCTTTTAAAAACACAGGAGTCATCTTAAAACCAACCCATGTTTCAAATTTTAAATTAAATTACAACCAGAAATAATTATTCAAAAACCTTTGGATGATTAGGTTATAAGATCTCAGATATCTGGCACACAGAAAGAAGCACAAAAACCTTTGTAAATTAGATTTATATGAGCATATTTGTCTAGGACATTATGTAAGCAAACCATAGATAAATCCTCAAATGTTTTACATGTGTGGTTTGGTCTAACTAACCTTTCAAAATAAAGGAAGGTATAAATAAAAACGAACTCCCAAATAATCAATTGTACCTATCTTTTCATACATTGAAATTACAGAATTTAATTTGCTATTAAATCGTACCTTGGTATGATGGGAAAATTTCTCTCAGATGGCTGAATAATCATCTCTGTCATATAAAACTTAATTGTTTCTAGAAACAAAAAATAGAAAATTAAAATCTCTGCAATGCACTAACATTTTTGTTGAGGGCATATTGGTCCCAAGTTATGACATTCAAACTAAATAGTTGATATGGTAAAATTAATATTCAGTAAAACTTTTTAAGAAAATGACTTAGTTTAAAAAGACAAAGCTTTGATGACTACAAAGAAATAGCCCTGAGACTCCAGATAGCTTGGTATCACTTCAGAAGAGCATGCCCTAAGAGAATCTGATGCAGCAAGATACTTCTCACACACAGGAAAGGTTAGAAAAATTAGTCACATCACAGCTATAGGCTATTATCCAGAAATTATTCATTTGTCTTCCTCATTTCTATAGAATAGCCACAAATCTAGAAGTCACTCAAAAAGACTTTTAATCATGGTACCTCAAAGCCTGTGCACAGATGCTGTGAACCTCACATTAGTATTTACCCAGAATTTCACTGAGTCAATAAATGTACGATTCCCACTAAATTTGGTTATCTGATTACTTACAGAAAAACTTAAACAGTAAATTAAATATCTAATAGTATTAAATATAAAACAACCATTTTGGATTTTGTAAAAATCCATGAAAAATGTTTACTCTCACTAGTAATGAAGGAAAAACACATTAAAATCAGATTATTTTTAGCATCAAATAAAACAATTTTAACAACAAGGTGCAGCACTGATGAACACACAGAAAAATGGACACACACTCACATACTGTTGTCAGGACTGAAAATGTCAGATTTCTGGACAGCCATTTGGCAAAGGCTTAAAAAATGGGTATATATTTTTGATACCATAAGAATTTATCTCAAAGAAAGGCTCATAGATATCTGTAAAAACTTATCTATAAAGATGTTAAATAACATTATTTAATATTATAAATAATATTAGTAGAAAAATATTGAAAACAAATTAAATAGCTAAAAATTGAGGATGGTTGGATTAAATGAGCAACTATACATTTATGGATGAGAATTCTATGCAGTCATTAAAAATAGTGTACCAAATACTTTTTGTTTTAGTAGGATGGAAGTTGTTCCTAATAGACTTTCCAAAAATGTTTTCAATTGCCCAACATAGCAGAGTAAAAGACAAAAAGAAAATAGTTGAACAGATTATTGTATATCTAGAGTCATGATGATGAATTTCTCTTTGAAGTTCAAGTTTTCACTTTACTATTTTGAAATCATATTATTAGATGCAGAATTGAAATTTTTCACATTATAAAGTGACCCCTTTTATCCTAGCTATTGTTAGAATAACTTCATTCTATAATTTTAATCCCACAAGGTATTATTATTGCTGTTTTCTACAGTTACTCTTCATTTAGTGTCACCCATGTGTTTACCATTTTCTTTACTGATCCTTCTTGAACTTAGACCTTCTATCTGGGACCATTTTCTTCTTATATTGACATACAGGCAGAATTTTTTCACTAAGAAACCATAGGGATGAAGTATCTGTTTTTGTTGGTGAAAAAACATATTTATCTGTGTTTTGATTCTTTCACATAAGGGCATTTTCACCTAGGTTAACAGTGTTTGACCTTTGTGCACACTGACACCATCATTCTACTGTCCTCCAGCTTCCTTCACTGTTGTTCCTTCGATCAGTCATTTTTCTTTGGCTGCTTTTAAGATTTTTTTGCTTTTTATTTTTCTGCAGTAACACTTTGTGTCTAGCTGCAGAAGATGGGATATGATTTTCCTTCCGTGGGTTTCATTCAATTAGAAATCATTGGACCTCTTGAATCTGCAGATTGTTGTCTTCCAACATTTTTCTAAAATTCTGCGCATTTCTTCATATACTGCCTATGCTCCATTCTCCTCCTATAAAAGGCTGGTTAAACATGTTAGATCTTCTCGGTGTATGTTTTGTGCTTCTTATCTTCTCTTCTATATTTTTTGCCTTCTTTTCTCTGTTGCTGGATTACAGGTATTTTTGCTCATGCATCTTCTGTTCATTAATGCTTTCTCCAAATTTTACCTAGTCTGCTGTTAAACCAACATTGAATTTTACATTTCAATTATATATTTTAAAGATTCTACTGTCAATCTTTTCCAAATGTTATAGTTTCCTTTTCCTTTCAATATATTCAATGCTGCCACTTATACTGTTAAATACAGTAAGAATGGTTGTTTTACAGTTTACATCTGATAATTCCAGTAACAGAATTCTGTTTCTATTGTCTGCTGCTTTTGTTAGTTTGTACTGATAGAAGTCTAGTTTACTTGTTTGCTTATTTGTGTTTGGTTATATGGTGAATACTGCACTTGAAAATTATTTGGGGGAATAATAGGAGCTTTACATGAAGATACCTTCCTCCAGAAGTGATGTGCATTTGTTTTTGCCAGGTACATGGTGTTAAGTCTAGTACAAGGCAGAATAGCCAAGACCTGAAATTCCCTAAAGCCCCAAAGGATTGCTACTTGTCTGTAATTCCACAGGGCAGGTCCGCTTTTGATTCACCTTCACTGTAAAGGTACGGCCCTTTAGGGTCTCATATTTTTGTGTAGTCACTTACTAGGTTCTCATCCTGCGTATTCTTTGATTTCTGTTCTTACTTCCCAAAGCAATCTAAATGAAAGTTCTAATTTCAGAGAATTGGCAAATTGCAGGGAAAAGGTGATTTCAATTTTGTGCTAAATCTTTTCAGTTTCCTTCATTCGTTCCTGTGGATTCCAATTACCATCTGGTATCTTTCACTTTAGCCTGAAGAATTTTCCCTAGCACTTTTTTTGTAGAGAAGGTTTTCTAGTAATGCATTACTGCCATCTATTTACATGAAAATGTCCTAATTTTGCCTTCCCTTTTGAAGGATAGTTTTGCTGTATATAGAATTGTTAGCTGACAGGTGTTCCTCCACCCCCAGCATTGTGAATATCTCATTTTAGTGTCTCTGGCTGCCATTATATCTATGTCAGCCTCAGTTGTATCATGATATCCCTGTACATGATATTTTGTTTTGCTCTTGCTACTTTGAATATTCTCTTTTCATCTTTAGCTTTTATCAGTTTGACTATAATGTGACTGGATGAAGCATTCTGTCTTGTTTATTCTATTTGAGATAAATAGGATAAAACAATAATTACTGTTTTATCAATATTATTGTAATAATTGGATCCGAGAGTATTTCCACCAAATTTGCCAAGATTTCAGCCATTTTTTTCTACAAAATTTTTCCTGATCTTTGTTTTTCTCCTCACCTTCTAAGACTCCAATTACACATTGATTGAAAAACAATATTGTCTCACAAATTTCTGAGGTTCTATTCATTCTGATTCAGATTTTTTTTTCTGTTCTTTGGGTTGGTTGATTTCTATTAACCTACCTCAATGATTTTTTTCTTCTGTCATCTTAAATATGTGACTTAGCTATTCTAGTGAATTCTTTATAGTTACTGTCCTTTTCAGCTCTGCAATTATCAATTGGTTCCAAGTTTCCAATTTGTTGAGATTTGCCATTAGTTCACTCAAGAAGCTTTTTAAATTCTTTTCCATATTTATAATAGCTGTTCAATGCCTTTGTCTGCTAAATCTAATATTTGTGCTTACTCAGCACTGTTTACTGAGTTCTGTTTTTTTTTTGTTGCATATGAATCACTCTGTTCTACCTCTTTGCATGCCTAAAATTTCCAGGTGGAAGTAAGACATCATATGTAATACACTGTACTCTGAGCTGTCTTTTGTTCTTTTAAGGGTTGTTGCTTTCTAGATATAGCAGTCAATTAACTGGCCGGAACTCAAACTGCAAAATATGTTTTTCCATTGTGTGTACCCCTAATGAACTCTGCTCACTTTTATTTTGTTTGGTTTGGTTCCCCAGAGAATATTTTATATACCTGCATAGTTAAACTGTCGGAAAATTTGGGAAGAAGTTCTGCTCAACTCCCTCAAGCCAGTAAGGCTTCCACTTTGTGCTGCTCAAGTTACGTGTGGATTGAAGGATGCAATCCAAGGCACAGCAAATTTGCAGGTCTCCCCAAGCTTTCAATTCTTATGGGATTCTCTGGCATCTATTGTGTGCATGTATACTTTAGCAGTTAGAGTTGTGCAAAGAAGTAAACTTCTCAGCCTGTCTATGGTCCTATTGCTCCCAATTTTTCCTCTTTAATTTCTAATTTCTCCTTTATCTACCTTGAACCAAAATTACTGCCTGTAAATGCTAAAGCTGTGAGTTTTTCCTGCGCAAGTTGGGGCGGAGAGGGTGGCAATGCCCCAAAGCATCAGGGCACAAATTTGTCTTTATAAGCAAAAGCAGTAGCAGTTTTTCAAAACCAAACACTTCTCAAATCACTGCTTCATTTTGGTCTTCCAGTGGTTGTTCACAATTTTTTGAACTTGTACAGTCTTGTATTTGTTTTCTACAGAATGAAACTGTCCCTTTTCTTTGTGCCACCGTTTTTGGAAGTGGGGTCCCACTAACTTACTTTTAGGGTAGGTGCAAATACAGCACTCTTACATCACCTCACACAAACTCAACACAGGCTGACCTCCTAATACACTTATGTATTACATCATAAAAGGTTTTTGGCTTCATAAATGTTCAAGGCTTGCATTACTGTGAGCATGACACTATGGCAACATTTCCTTTCTGGTTCAATGTTCTGTTTTCCAGCAGTACATAACTGAGTTCTTTTTCATGTATTTAGTTTTCCAAACACTGTTACCGTTAGTTAATTCTTCCTATATGGTGAAGTGATTTGTCTCAAGATTTGTTCCACGTGGTCAAACAAATAAAAACCTGTATCAGTTTCACCTGACATGTGAAAACGTCTTTACCACAATCCCTCTGCCCTGGGTCCGATGCAGGCTGCTCCTCTCCAGGCCTGCTGCACATCCATCCCCCGAGACATCCTCATCCTGCTCTCCTGTGTGGAATGATGCGTTTCCCAAATTCCATGTCTTTTCTCTTCAAGTTAAATCCCTTGTTTTGGTGCTAAATGTCCTATGCCAGATTCCTAAGGAAAATATACCTTTGCAAACTATATTTTAAAATCTTTTTTTTTCCAGAATGTATTTGTATCCCTCAACTTGAATGATGGTTTGTCTGTGTATAGAATCCCGAGTTGAAAATCTTTTTCCTTTTAAATTATAAAGGTGTTGCTTCATTGTCTTTTAGCTTTCTGTACTGCTGTTATGTTCAATGTCATTCTAATTCCTAATCCTTTGTCCACTACCAGCTTTTTTTCTCTCTGGAAGCTTCATCCTTGCTGTTCAGAAATTACTCAATGGTGTGACTTTGAGTAGCCTCCCTGCCATCCCTCCATTAATTACACTTGACATTTAGTGGGTTTTTCTATTGACAAACATAAGCCATAGCTCTGGAAAGTAACCTTATAACGTGTTTTTGGAATTTTTGTTCTTTGATAATTTCTCACATCAGACTGTCTCTATTCTCGCTAGAATTACTATTATCTACCTGTTGGGTGTTCTAAAAGGCTCAATTCACTCATTCATTCAACAAATAGTACCAGATACCCATCAAGTGCCAGATACTGTTCCAAGTGCTGAGGTCACAGTGATAAACAAGGTAAGACAGTATCCCTGTCCTCAGGAGGCGTACATGATGATGTTTTTTTAAATGCTTCCTCTCCCAATTTTCAGTCTCTGTTGATTGGTTCTGATTTTTAAGTTAGTTCCTTAATTTTATCTTCTGGTGCTTTGATTAGTTTTTTAAGCCATTACATCTTTAATTCTATATTCTCTGAATTATGAAGGCAGTATTATTTCATCCTCCAAAAACATTTATTATGCTTTTTTTATTTTAAGATTTTCTTCTGTTTCACACAAAATTAGTTTATTCTAGGTGCCTTTACTATGCTTACCTGATTACTTATTTGATTTCGTCTCTTTCTTGTTGGAGTTTCTCTCAAGTATTTGTTGATTCTTAGCAATCCATTCATATTTAAGTGTTAGGTAATAAAATGTTAAGAGTAAGCTTTTGGGTGTAGGTAGAAGGCTTGGTGACTGACTGTAGGAGGGTTGAATGTTAAGCTCATTTTTGTTGAATGACCCCTAAGAATCAGTGCCTGCAAATCTCTTTTCTGGTTGGTACTCTTCCATTGTTCCAAAAAAAAGTGGGGGTGGGGGGGGGGGCTCTCTAATCTCCTAGGTTGAAAGTATAAGCAAGTTGCAAGTGGAGGAGACTCGGGAGTCTTAGAAGAGCTCCGTATATACACTTTCAACCCCTGCTTCCAGTCCTTTGTCTCAGACTTCCTTCCCTGTTCTTGCTACCCCCAAATTGTGACCAGTTCTGGGGCTCTACAGTGAGTACCGGCTCACTCCTCACCCAAATGATCTTCTGCAGGTACCTAGGCTACTGGCCCCCTCATACTGGCAAGTTCGTTCCCATGTGTGTCTCTCAGCTTTACAGCTTTGGGGAAAAAAACACTGCTTACACCTCTTATTTATATCATTGTTGTCTCCTCTCTGCTTCTCTTTGTCTCTGCAGATGTATACCTTTTCCATTTCTTAACAGATTTTTTGGCTAATTTCAGGGTGGAGTGAGAATCATTTTTAAAAAATTAATTCACTTAAATTTTCTAAGTTGTAGCTTAAAGGGCTTGCTTTCATTCTCCAGAAATAATATTGAGAATAGCATCCTTTACTGCTGCTCACTCTCCCTTTTCTGTTCACAGCGAGGAAGTAACTACTTACAAGGTTCTGATAATTAAAAAAAAAAAAGACCAACAAAAATATCCTTAAGTACAATAGCTTCACTTAAATCACATCTTCTAATTAATTATATTAAAAATAATTATTCATCACCCACAAAGATAACACAGCATGCTGTAGCTCTCTAGATATTTTTAAACTGTATCTTCAAATAGTGATGCACTTTAATTATGGGGATTTTCTTTGTTATACTTTAAAACAGACTTTATGTAATTAACATTATTAGGAAGAAGAACACGGAACAGAATACAAAACTCAGAAAGTGTTTTCTTCTATTTCAACAGGTTCTCTCCCACCCCTGGACCCAAAATGCAGCCCCGAGGTGGAGGGCAGCCAAGAAAAGCAACTTTTCCATCACCTCTGGCAACCAACTCTTTGGACTGAGCAGTTGTATTAAGGAAAGCTCCAATCTTCAAGACAGACACAAGTATAAAGTTTATTTAATTCCTTTATATCTACAGAGAATATGAAATATTAAAAATGACCCAATGTCTTAATGTTTAAAACTCAACACCCATGTATTCATAAAGGCCAAAATACACAAAATTGTTAGCATATTGGATGATGTTAGTAGATTTCTATTTTAAAAGGTATCAATTCTACAACATATATTAGTCATCTAGCTTTCACATGTATTCCTATAAAATCTCCTTCTATTGGTTTTATTTTAACAAAAAGGCAATCATTTTGGCTTTTTCTTACCTGATGACATAGTCTCCCCCATCATTACCTTGCAACGCTTACAAATTACTTTGGTATTTGCCTTTGGTTTCTGTAGAACAGAAAAAATGTCATTTAAATGTCATTCAGCTTTTCTTTAAAGGAATATATAATTTTAACATAGTCTTTAGGGCATACATTGAACTTTACATTTTATTTTGCCCTCTCCTAAATACTAGGACTCCATTTACCTTGTATGCATAATTCACATGTACGGAAACAATTTTTTTCAAGTCTAAAGACAGAATAATGAACAGACTGATTTTTTCCCAAACCTAGCCACTTCTGGACAACCTTCATGTTGTCAAATAATTTGAACAAGAAGCACCTTACATTGTCAAAAAAACACCTCCAAACATCTTAGCCATTTAGAATTGGCAGATGGTGGGCAACTAAGGCAGAGAGGTAGGTCACTTATCCCAACCCATGTGTCTAAAAACAGAAGAATCAGAACTTGGACTCATTATTTTGATTCCCAGCCCAGTGTAATTTATGTAAAAGTAATCTATAATTTATAACCACCCATCAGAAGTTAAAAATATCTAACCCATTCATATAATTTTATTTTTTCATTTAAGATATGCATTGTAACAGAAAAGATGGACAGTGCTCTGAGACAAGTTCCTGAAACATTCTTAAACTTCCAAAATCTATATTCATCATTTGGCATACAGATTAAAATAGCTAGCAGTCACCTAATTATTAAGCCAATAAAAAAATGCTCTTTGAGACAGAGAACAGATGGTGGTTACCAGAGGTAGAATTCAGGGGGTAGGCAAAAATGGGTGAAGGGGGTCAAAAGGTACTAACTTCCAGTTATAACATAGGTAAGTCCTGGGGATATGAATAGCATGGCAACTACAGTTAATAACACTGTAATGCATGTCTGAAAGTTGCTATGAGAGTGACTTTTCAAAGTACTCATTACAAGAAAAAAATTGTAACTATATAGTGATATTAACTAGACTTATTGTGGTGATCCTTTTGCAATATGTACAAATATCAAATCATATAGTACACCTGAAAGTAATATAATGTTATATGTCATTTATACTTCAATAAAAAAATCTTCCTAATTTGTGGCTTGTTGTAGAGATTATGTTATAAGCAATAGGAAAGTGGTTATGAGCCCAAATCTGGGGCCAGACTTCCTAAGTTCAAATCCCAATTCTGTTCTTTACTAAATTTACGACTTTGGGCAAGTTAACTACCTTACGCTGGATTCCTCATCCGTGAAATAGAGTTAATAGTAGTGTTCAACTCACAGAGTTGTTTATTAGGAGTTAGAAAGGAATGTTGTAAAGAGCTGTCCTGTGTGCATGGTAACTACTAAGATGGATGTTACATAAATATAATATACTTTTATCACACATCATTCCAGAAATGGACAAAAACTCCATGTCTTCCCACAAAGGGACCAATGTTTTGCCTTTTACTGGACAGTCACCATTTATTAAGAATCTAAAAGAAAACACAAAAGAATGCTCTTTTTACATCCATAGTAATACCTTTGTTAAAGCCATGCAATGTTTCTCTCACCGAGATACACTGCAGCATGGCAGAAGTCATCTAACAGTGGGCAGGGAGAAGACAGCTCTGCAACTCTGGTCATGAGGCCATCTCTCTTAGGCAACCACAGAACAGAGTGTTGGTCTAGGTGAGGAAATAGTGACTTTCTGATGTGGGATAACATGTGTAACTCATCTAAGAAATAAGTCTTAACAGATTAGTATAAGGAAGTACACTTATATTTCCCAAAAACTGTATACAAAGCCCATTTCAGCTGTGTTCTACAGATGTGCTGTTAGTAACGGATACTGATGACATTTGAATCCTGGCTCCTTAGATGCTAAAGCTTATGTTTCTATGCACTATGCCAAGTATTTTCCAAACCAATTCATGGAATTAATTCAATGGGTGACCGCCCGAGTTTGAAAAAATACAATAGAACAGAAAATATCACAGTGCTTCAAACGTACAGTAAGTAGTACTACTTCAAGAACCTTTTATTTAAGGTGTGTTTATGTGTCTGTGTATTATAAAGTCTTGATGTAAAAAAATTTTTTTCTTAGTTTAGTTAGAGGTCAAAAGACAGTCAGAAGGCACAAACCTAGAAAACCAGGTAGGTAGGTGCCAATTTGTTCAGGTTCAGGCAAGGTTACTGGAAGAAGGTAGCTCAAAAACCTGGTATGCTCAACTGCAAGGTTTGACATTTTGGTAGTTTCACACTTTTGTACAGTATAATCTATCTGTAAGGCTTCAAATTGGTATTAAAGACACTTTTTTTCCTATTTTGTACAAGTTAAGTCAGACCATCCTCTTTAAGCTTGCCAAAAACTAAGGGCTTTACTGAAAACTAACATTGTGTACTGGAGAAGCAATGCTTGGAAGGGCATTTTCTATTTGAAGCAGAAATTTTCACCTGGTACTCTGTTATGTATTTCATTTACTTACAGTATAGTTTGCTTTGTCTTTCAATGAAGCAAGAAAAGTGAATGTTATTGGTATGCTTTTAAAATAAGATTCTACATTTTTAAGACATTGGTAATCAGGATTTTAAAATCTGGTCAATAGAAAGCAAATTACCTCAAACAACCAAATATGTGGATTTTGATTCAAATAAACTGACAGTCAAGTATACTTTCAATACAGTCAGAAAAATTATATGCAGCCTATATTGCATCATCAAGTAATAATGTTTGGGATTTGCTTTAAAGTGCCAAAAAAATAATAATAAAATGAACAGATAAAGCATACTTTATGAACAAAGATAATTGGTATACTGAAGTTTATAATTCTATCCTATTTACATTTGTGAGTGTTTACAAAGTCTGACACATTATTCTAAGAAAATAAAAAAGACACTGTTATGGATTTATAAAAGAAATTACCAAAATCAATATATTATTGCTAAGTACCTCAGGCAAGAAAAAAAAGTTAAAGCTGGTTGTCAAACTTGCCAGCTATAATATAACTGAAGTTCAATTTCATTCATTCTTTAAAAAATAGGATGAAGTCATAAATGTGGCTATATTTTCTAAAATAATTTTATGACTCTTATAAAAGTTTGAGGCACCGTCCTTACCACCCTGTTAGAAGATACAAAGTTTTTATGTTGGTAGACACAAAAAATAGCACAGGAGATAACAGACAAATGCAAAAACAGGGAAATCTTCAGCACGTATCTTTTGAAAACAAAAGATATATATCACTGCCACATTAACAGAAGCACAAATAATATACTGTACACTCTATGGGGATACTGAAGGAAAGCAATGTGATGGACCTTATGTGTGGTTGTGCTGTTTTTATGAGATATTTTAAATTAAAATATTGTAACACTTTTAATTTTGTTTAAAGAGAAACTCTGCTTTGTAGTACATTTTTCTTGACCTATGCTTAAAGGAAAGATAAAGCAAGTTTTGCAATGAAATGGCCTAACAGTGTGGGAATTCCACAGAGCAAACATTGAAGCCATTGTTGTGACTAATTAAATCAATACATCTGAGAGATGGCACCACTGCTCAGAGGCGGATTAGCCTCCCATTCTCGTTTTTATTTTCCTTTGTGTTGTTTCAATTTCTAAGGAACCCTGATATTGTTTCGCCAAAAAAAAAATGTTTCCCAAGAGATACCATTAAGATGCTGTGTCACCGTGTGACATTTCAAAACCTTGCTAGATGGCTGGACTGGGTGATATGAGAAATAGGCTTTCAATAGCACGGAGCAGCCCTGTTCCCACAGGAGCCTTGAGAGCATTGTTTAAGCAGTCCCTCCAAATTTATGTTACTATTTTGGTCACAGGCACACTCTTTCAACTGCTGCAATATGCAATTAAAGTGAAACTTCCATCTAGGCTAACTTGAAAACAATCTTGTCGATAGCAGCTGGTCATGACAGTAATTTCCCAGCATCCTTGATACCAAAAACCATAGTGTCTGAATATAAAGGGTCTTCCTTTAACAAAAAGGATAGTTGTTTGCAATTAAGAGAAATTCTTATAAGTGGCATCCTATAACTGATAAAGGCATAAATGTGAAGAATATATTTCAATATAAAGTCCAAGAATTTATCCAAAATTTATGGTTTCTATTAATCTTTCCTACTCCTCTTCCACTCATTCCCTCCAAATATTTTTTAAAATTTATAGCTTAATCATAAAAATGAAAATTAAAAGATATAAAATAATATAGTATTAGTATATAAATTTACAATATAAATTTAGCATTAAATATAATTTTAATATCATGTCTAATATAACTTTAACAGATTTTTATTGACTTCCTACCATTTTCTTTTAAAATTATAGAAGGCTTACATACGATAATTTAAAATGAACCATATTTAGGTAAAGTAATTTGTGTTTATGGTGAGAGATAAGGCACATAAATAATTAGATAACAACCTCATTATCTGATAAACTTTAATCTCCCTCAAAATAGAAAATAGTTTTATAAACTAACTTACAAGCTAAGAGCTGCTCAACTCCTGGATATTTCCTGAAGTGGTTCAGTTCTCATTACAAAAATTAAGTGGGCTTCAAATAAAATTTAACATACATTGCTCTTGTCCCTACCAACAATAATCAGATGTTAAAATAGAAAATTCTCTGGCAATGATTTTCTTTACTTTTTAAATCACATCTGCATTGACTTGCCATCAGGAGAATGACTTCTCACAAGGGCCAAATCAATGACATTGATTTTCTCTTAAAATACAGTAAACTGCTTGCTCTCAGCAGTAAGAGGAGACTGTCTTCTCCCGAAAGCAACTCTGATAGTAGGAGCCACCTGACCTCTCGTCGTCAACCACCAACCTGGAGCCTGCAGCACAAGCTGCATTTCCACGCTTGGGCTACTCCATTTCCTCCTCTTCCTTGATGGCATCTGCTTTTATGACATGAGCAGAAGTCTAGACTATAGGCCTAACTACATAGCAGCTGTTCTGGAGCAAGAAAACGATCTCAATTTAAATTAGACTATGAGGATAAGATGTATATGTATTATCGAATATTGTACTAAAAACAAGAAAGTAGGGCAATTTGGTTTGTAAAATGGTAACATTCCTTTTCTTTCTTCAGCCCCTGTGGGCTGTTTTGCTTGAAGGACATATGTTCTTCCTATAATAATAGAGCAGAGCTAGAGCCCTGGCCAGATAGCTCAGTTGGTCAGAGCCTCATCCTGATACACCAAGGTGGCAGGTTTGATCCCCAGGCAGGACACAGAAGAAACCACCAATGAATGCAGAAATGAATGGAACAACAGGTTGACATTTCTCTCTCTCTTCCTCTTTCTCTCTAAAGGCAAATAAAAAAATAGAGTAGAGCTAGAGAATAGAAGCAATCGAAAAGAACGGATTTTGGTCTTTATAAAAGTCTGTGTAACATGCCTTGAATTGAGAGAAGACTGCATTCTGGCAGAACATTCTTATGACACTTCTTATATTATGCCTTATTGTATAATTTTTTTGTATAATTTCTCCTACTAACTTTCAATCCTTCCAGGAAAAAAAAAAGGAAAAAGATTGAAGAAACCATTTTCTAAGCCAACCTCTAAATTAGCATCTGTTCTGAAAAGATATTTTACCAATTTAAAGTGGTTCTCAGAAGAAAGACAGTGCGTCTCTGCTGGAGCTAGCTGAGGTCTTGGCTGCCACAGATCATTTCTTAAATTCACCAGGAAGAAAGAGTCTCCAATAAAACAGTCATTCTCTTGTGGATCAAGTGGCTTATTAGCAAAGGGGTCCGGATGACAGCACCATTCTCCAACCAGAACTCCCCAGTTCTCTGTCGGCAAGGGGAGCACCCTAAGGAGCTTCCTAGTGGAAAGAAAAAAACTTTTACAGAACAAAATAGAAATGTGACATTTTCTTAATTAAATCAGCATGAAAGATTAAAAAAAAACCCACTAACCACATTGCTTGCAGTGTTTATTTTTCCCTCTAGATTACAAAAGTATATACACACTATAGACAATTTTGAAAATACAGATTTAAAACAAAAATCACCTTTTCCTTACCACCCAAGAACAAGTAACTACTTTGTACACAGTGGTATATTTCCTTGCCATCCTTTCAAAAGACAGTTGTGGACACACACATAAAGTCTGAGATCAGAGGATATACACAAACTGTATGCTGCTTTCATTGTTTGATTTAGTTATATCATGAATCTTAATGACTCCATTCTATTTCATAGGAATGACAAAACTTTTTAGATCATTCCCTCATTGTTAGATATTTAAGTTCTGAATTTTTCACTATCAAAAGCCTTGTATGAACATTCTTATTAGAAAATTTGAGTAGATAGCTGATTATTTACTTGGGAAAATAATCTTGTGTGAGAGTACAAGTAAAAATGCTATGCATATTTTTAAACCCAATACCTGTATTGGCTATATACCAATTTATAATTGTTCCACTTACCTTCTTCAAAATTGAATGCTATCATTTTTTCATGTAATGGGTGAAATTGTTTCCAATATTGCTTTAACTGGCAACTCTTTAATTATTGGTGTGACTGAACTGGCTTTTAAATTTATTGATCACAATTTTTCTTCTGTGAATTGTGATCAGTGATTATTTTCCAATGAAGTATTAGTATATTCCTATTAATTTATAAAAGTATATTCTATATTAAGAATATTATCCTTTGTTTATCATCTGTCACAAATATTTTGTTCAGTATTATTACCTTTTAAATTGGTATAGATATCTTAAATTTCAAATCACCTAACCCTTTCTTTCATGATTTCTTCTACTACTATTTTTTTAAATCCTCATCCCAGGATATGTTTATTGATTTGTGAGACGGGGGGTGGGGGGGGGGGAGAGAGAGAGAGAGAGAGAGAGAGAGAGAGAGAGAGAGAGAGAAAGAAACATCAATCAGTTGTTACCATATGTGCCCTGACCAGGAACTGAACCTGCAGGCCAGCGCTCTCCCACTATTTTTTAAATAAATTTTTTGCTTTAAATAATTTTAGATTTCAGAAGTTACAAAAGTAGTACATATAGTTCTCATATACATTTCAGCCAGCTCTCCCTAATGTTAACATCTTACATAACCATGGAAGATTTGTCAAAAATGCAGACTTTATCTGGATTTCCCTAGGTTTCCCACTAATGTCCTCTTTTTCTGTTCCAGGATCCACTTCATGATAACACATTGCACTTAGTCATTATGTGTCCCTAGCCTCCTCTGATCTATAACAATTCCTCAGTCTTCCCTTATTTTTCAGGACCTTGAGATTTTTGAAGAGCATTTGCCAGGTATTTTGTAGAATACCTCTCAATTTTAATTTGTCTGATATGTTCTCAAAATTAGACTGAGGTTAAGGGATTGGGGGAAGTATGCCACTGAGGAAAAGTGCCCTTATTGTCACACCCTATCAGAGGTTCCACCCTATCAGCATGACTTACCACTGGTGCTGTTCATCTTGATCACTTGGTTAAGATGGTATTTGCTAGCATTCTCTACAAATAACGCTATTTATCCCTTTGCATACTCTATTCCTTGGATGTGAGTCTCAAAGTCCAGGTCATACTCCAGAAGAGAGAAATTAAGCTCTATTCTGCCATTATTTTTTTATACTTAGAGCAACCTTATAATTAAGTAGTCCCTTATATTAGCTATACGAAATAATTTATCCTGAGAAAAACTGAAAAGAGAAACACTCAAGTTCTTCCTACTATCTATAAGCATGTGAACACTCAAAGCACCCTGAACACTCTCACACTTCTGCTCCGTCCATTGGGACATGTGCTTACTAGGAGCCAGTGGTCTTTGATTGCAGACCTGTTTGTGCCTTGTGCACATGCTGTTCGTCACATAGTTTAATTAAATATTATGTGATCCAAAGAAATATATATTGTTGCTATTCCTCTGAAAACTAAAAATTTCAAACTAAATAAAAGCGAGTTGTAAAAAAAGAAAAAAGAAAAATCCCTGGTGGAATGTGGGAGATATAACTATAGAACACTGGGGAGAAGGAGAAAAAGGAAAAATCCAGAAGAATTCTGATATCAGATTGCTTCAACAATGTGTCACTTTTCATTTCACTTTAAAGAAACCCAAACTGAAAATTGCAGACAATGACTCTTGGATGGATTACATGGGAAAAGCTGCACAACAGTGGTGTTACATTCAACAAAAAGACATTGGTTCAATAATAAAATACCAGTAGATTAATGTACATTTGTATGTTTTAAATTAAAATACTTAAAATGCAAATGTTTCATTTTTTAATGATTTTCCCTTTTCTTTGATTCCCCAATCAACTATGAGTCTCATAAAAGAGCAATTACAATGTGGAAGACATTTAATTTAGAACTCCAGAGGACACAGCTAAGAACAAGAAAGGGTGATTTTGTTAAAGTTTAATATAATGAAGGACATCCCCTTTCAAATTAGGAAATGCTGTACCACTAGCATTATTCAAGCTGCTGAGCCTGTTAAAAATATTAAAAGCGATTCTTTTAACATACGTTTTCTAAAAGTTTATTATGAATCAGGCATTCTGCTGATAAAAAATATTAATACATAAAGTCCCTTCTCAAGGTACTCATGTTCTAGCAGGAGATACAGACCTATAAACAAACAATAAAATAATAATATAATAAATGTTCATAACAGAGTAGTGGTTCTAAATTCTTGTGGGGCAGCGGAAGAGGAGGGGATAGCTCTGACTCCTTTGAAAATTTGGTGAAAGCTTTATAGCCCCTTCAAACATACATTTCCACATGCACATAAAATTGATGTATTACTTTAGGGGATTCATTCATGGATTTACAAAACCAACATGAACTCAGGGCAATGCATACAAAGTGCAAGGGGAGGAGAGTATACACAGACTTCAGAGAAGAAGCAACATCTGAGCTCTGACCTCTGAAGGATGAACAGGAGTTCTGTAGGGCACTGGAAGAAACTGAGGGCATCACTGAGTGGAGGAAACAAGGTGAAGATGCCATATCTGTTTAACTCACCACTGTATTCCTCGTGTCTGGCTCAGGCCCTGACTCTTAGTGTAAGCTCTTAAATATTTGTTAAAAGAATGAACAAGCATATTTTGATAACTTTAATATGTGAGGCCTCTGGCTGGGTCTGTTGCATACTGAAACAAAAGGGTTAACAAGTCTTTTCTTTTGCTTTTTGGGAATCTGACCTTTGGTTTAACCATCTAGCTCTGTTCCCCTGGAAACCAAGTAGATGATAGGCATCAATTATATTGCTAGGCAACATTGCTTATGGTAAAAATGATCCTTGACTGGTAAAATGCATCTGGACTGGGAGGAAATATGAATGAGCTGTACAATCTGACAAGGATGCCATGCTTTGGACTTTCCTGAATGCAGTCCTCCTTTAGGAACTACGCCAAAGAATTGCTACAGAAGATAATGGCAGCCTAGGGCATGAGGCATCTTCCCAGAGTAGCCTCTGCATCTGTCTAATGTGGATCTTGAGCTTTGTACCTCGAGAGATGTCTTAAGAGGAGTCTAGACAGGTATATACCTCCTATACAGGTATATGAGCTGTCACTTGTTTGAACTGCAACAGGACCCCTGCAGAGAGGAACTCCTAAGGTTGCCCTGCTGGCAAGAGATGTGGCCTTTGATGCTCTTGTGAGTCTGCATGTTTAGTTAAACTTAAGACCTCTAGTGGGCATCATGCATATCTTTTCCACATAATGCTTACTACAACTTTGTAAGACAAGAATTTGTATTCTTGTCTTACAAAGGAGGAAAGGTAGGCTCAGAAATGTTAAATAATCTGTACAAGTTCACAGAGCCAGAGGTGATGATTGAAGGCAGGATCTTAATCTAAGTGTTCATGGCTCCGAATCTACACTCTTTCCCTTAGGGTAGATTCCGTCCTCTGGGGATGCAGAACACCGGTAAAGGAAACCAGGAAGGTGGGAGAAAGGCACCCTGTGTGGGGTGTTTCATGCTAACCTAAGGGACAGGCACTTGGTTCTATAGACAGGTGGGAAGCATTACAGAATTTCAAGCAGGGAAGTGATAGGTCAGATTTGAATTTTTACAAAGAAGAAGAAGAAGGCAAACAAAAGTGCCTGTATATAGTGGGAATTATACCTAAACAGGCTTTTAGATATTTTCCATCACTAAGATTCTCTGTCTCTTAACATTTTGCATGTTGTTCCAATAAACAAATCCTCAATAAAGTACAAAAGACAGCAATGTCAAAATCTCATCCATGATCACAGAAATGAAACTGCACCAAGACATACAGATATTTGGGAAACCTGATGTACATTAGTATAAAATGTGATGTTTCAAATTTAACTTGACCCCATATCACAGTGAATAGAAGTTGTAATATATCCTACTGTATTTACATAAGACTTCAGGAGCAAGAACGTAACTAATTCACATGTCATTGCAAAGATAAAAGTGTACAGCAGAATTTTTCTGACATTTTGAAAAAACATGAATCCTTTAAGAACAAAAGGTATATTTTAATTACAGCTCAACTGAAAGTATATACATTGAAAACCAAAACTTGGATCTGATCTACTTCCCTGGAGAACTTTCAAAATAAATAGATATCTTTTTTTTTCCCCACAGTAGTTTTAAGGTAAAAACTTGCAGCAGCTCAGGAAAAGAGTGAAATGATCTCTTGAACTTTCTCTCAGCTTAAAACCCTAAGATGAGCAACAACACATTTAATAACAAATTAAAAGTTGCTAGTTATTTTAATGCACTTTAAGCATAAGCTTTTTGGTAAAATAACTTAAAATAGACAATTTCAATTAAAATTAATTGATGATGTTTATTTAAAATTTAAACATATAGACAAGAAGATG